ATATATATATATATAAAACAATATTAAGAAGTAATAAATTACCAAAGGAATGTTCAATATATTTGATTTATTTTTATTACGTTTTGATATTTGAAAGACACATAACTTATTGGGATTTATTGTTCAACTTGAATTGGGGTTCTGTGGAATAGTTATGAACAACTAATATAATACCTGTTGTAGATAACTCTGTGAACGACCTTGATTTGGGGAAATAAAGTTTAATTCTGGTGGGACTTACAAGCTAACAGCTAGTCTTGACAGCCAAAACCAAAATGTACTGCTGATTATGTTAAACAGTAATATGTGTTGGTCTTTTATTTTTATTGGTTTATAGTGGTATGTGCAAATATTATGTCATACTCAGTGATGGGCACAGCTAACCAAAACTTTACCGTCGCTAACCCATATTCTGCTAACTAAACAAAAAAAAATTGCTTCACTAACGCTAAACTGCTAAACAAGTAATAATAATAATAAATTAGCGGAAGCTAATGCTAACCACTGTCGCTCAGTCTGTGTCACGTTTTCATCTCGTTCCTGTTGAAGCTGCATCGACCAATCATGTCTTGTCACATGTTCATGTAAGCCAATAGCGTGTCTAACGGACTCTTCAAGACACGCCCACAACAGACAGGAACAAGCCTGTGAATTTTGTTAGCAGACTTAAAGTTGGTGAAGCCTAATTTCGTGGAAGCTAATTCTGCTAATGGTTTCCAAAGTTAGCGAAAAGGCGAATCTGCTAAAAGAAATATTAGTTCCACTATTAACTGGTAGAGGATTAGCAGAACTGTGCCCACCATTGCAAATACCTTTAACACCACTATCATTTTCACATTATGTAATATTTCACATATAATTTTTTTTTTGTTTGCAGCTGTAATGAACATTTGGCAGGAATATTATATTTATGCCAAAATAACTATAAATTCAAAACTGACAATGGTGCAAAGGTTTATTTATTAGCAGTGAACAAAGTTATTTAAAACAACTGGGGTGCAATCTGCCTATCCCGCCCAGTGTTTACGTATGCGACATAGTGGAGAATCTAAGATGGCGTCCGAAACGAACAGCTACTCACGGCCTGCAAAACATCTGTTTAATAGCAAGCTGGATCTGTGTCAAACTATTTTTAATATCTTTACAATAACTTAATATAATGCATAATTAGTGTTAATATCATACAACAAACCTGATCAACCTTAGAATAAAACCAAAGACCAAACGTTTTCCACATACCAGAAACAAGACGAGGGAGTTAAATTAGGAGGGAAAAACATCCCAAATGCCACAACCAGAGGAGGGATATTTACCTCTCCTCCCCAGTTAACATTTCACCTAATCTCTACTAAACTGCAGCTCCATATGTCCACTTATTCCCTTAAAATCATCTATTAGGATGAAAAAATAACCTCTTTTACCTTCCACATGCAGGCTATTCGCCTTTATTTCTACACAGACACAATGGTGGACCACTTGTTTGTTATATATATATATATATATATATATATGACTGACAATTTAAAGGGTCTATAAAACAAGGTTTGCATGAAACAATGCAAGTTAAGGAAGCAGTAATTTACATGTATTTTTGTTCTTGCCCTACTCAAAAATGTTGTTAGCTCAACAGTTTGGTCAAAATGAAAGTATTTCCCAAACTGACTGTTGAAGAAGCTATCTACAACAGGTGAATCAGTTGTTCATAACCATTGTTCAGGACGCCACATTGATTAATTTGAACCATCCTTTAAAAATCCACATCAGCTATAAGACACATTCCCTCACCTGTATACTGTTATCTAAAAATTAAAAAAAATCAGATCTTAGTAATGTGCAGTTTTACTTTAAACACACTTTTCATTCTGCCTGTGAAATTAAGTCACTTGTGAATGTTTTGAACCTGCAAATTGTGCCAAACTTGATTTGGTTTGATGCTTTACCTCCAAAGTCCTTGCGGAGGATTTTAGTGTCGTGTGTTAAAGCATTTCCATGAGCTGTCGTGTAATTTGTTAAAGTGCGTGAGCTGAGGTGCATGTATATGGTTTGATGTGTGCACTGCTGTGCATCTGTGTGTACGTTGGTAAAGGAGGACAGCGGTGTCCGACAGGGCGCACACTGCCCAGTCCTGGGATTATCTAACCCGGCAGCATGTCAGTGCACTCTCAGACCCCTCCAGGACAGAAGAATCTTAATCCCAAATCCCCTCTGCTTTTTTTCTGAAGACACAGTGAGCGTGGCGACTCACACTCACCTAAACATGGACATGCACAGTGTCACATTACCCCTTTGGTCATAGTAAGAGTCAGCTCCGTAGCACAAACAGTAGCATCCTCATTCACAGCCATTCAGGCCGGCTGTAGAAAAGAACTCTTGGATTAAAAAGGGATGAGTCAGAGCTGCGAGAGTCATGAGTCACTTCTTGTTTAGGCTGGCCGTCTCCATATTGTGGCCCCCTGGATGCAGTCTGTGGCAGCCCAGCAGGATGGAGAAGGCCCTGCGAAAATCGGCGTTGAAGGCATAGATGATGGGGTTGAGGGAGGAGTTGGCCCAGCCGAACCACACGAACACGTCAAAGGTGGTGGGGTTGATGCAAGGGAAGGCCTCGCCATCGCTCGGCTGCTCACAGAAGGGCACCATGCAGTTCAGGATGAAGAACGGGAGCCAGCAGCACACGAACACCCCCATGATCACCGACAGTGTCTTCAGCACCTTGGTCTCCCTCTTGAACGTCATCTTGAAGGAGCTCTCGGACTCTGCGATGCTGGAGCCTCCGCACACGCTGTTGTGCCTGTTCTTGGCACTCTCAGCAGCCCGCTCCAGGGCAGAAATCCTCCTGATCTGTCTGTGGGCAATGCGATAGATCTGGGTGTACGTGGCCACCATGATGGCAACAGGGATGTAGAAGCTGATAAGAGACGTGGAGATGGCGTAGGTCCTGTTCAGGCTGGAGTCACAGTTCTCCGTGTCATGGTGAGATGATGCATTTGGACCTAGGAATGATTCAGTGAGAGCCTTGTAAGATTTAGTCTGGGCTTTGTGCCAGTTGAGCTGCACAGGGATGAAGGAAATGAGGACAGATAACGTCCATGCCATGCTGATCATCACGTAGGCCACTCTGGGTGTCATCTTCCTCTCATAGCGGAAGGGGCTGGAGATAGCCCAGTAGCGGTCCAAGCTGATGACACAAAGGTTCAAGATGGACGCTGTCGAGCACATGATGTCAAAAGCCACCCAGGTGTCGCAGAAAGAGCCAAAGGGCCAGAACCCCGCAATCTCCGTCACCGCCTTCCACGGCATCACCAAGACGGCGACCAGGAGGTCGCTCACGGCCAACGAGATCACAAAGAAGTTGGTCACCTTGGAGCGCAGGTGTCGAAACTTAGTGACGGCCGCGCAGACGAGCACGTTCCCCAGCAAGGTGGTGAGGATGAGCAGCGAGAGGAAGCAGCCGGTCAGGACGCGACTCGACGACGTCTCGTCCATGAAGCCATTGTCGACGACGGTGGTGAAGTTCACGGGATCCATCCCTGAACACACGTGACTGGATTCAAGCCATGCTGAAGAGTCCTGCCACTGTTATCCAGCCAGGCAGAATAAAACAAGAAATAAGATCAAATCCATCACTTCTCGCGGTGATGTCTTCTGAAATAAGAGACGACTGAGGCTCTGGGATCAAATTTTGCCGCCTGACTTTGTAAATTAGATCCGACATCATTCAAGGTGCAGCGATAACGTGAACTCTCTTCAGTCTGTACAAACTGGAATCCTGTTTGTTTTGGTGAACTCAGTAACAGTCCTGCAGAAAAAAAACCAAAGAAATTAGTACATAATAAATAAATAAATAAATCAACTTCGCAAATGTATAATTCTTGTTGTTTTAAGAAAAAAAAATGCTTAAGTAGTTTCATGCAGAGAATGACACTATTTTACCTTCACGAGAGGATAATTAGTATTTCTATATTATTTAATATTTGATCATTATCCAGATAGAAAAATCACATCATAGCACATAAATGGACCCTAAACATTTTTTTCTTGTTTCCATCATACTCACTTCACAGAGACGAGCTCAGCTGTTGGCTTCACATTTGGAGAAACGTGGCTTCCAAACAAACTTCAGAGCACATCCTGCCTTCATGACCCACAAACACGAGCCACAGCCACCTCTCCTCCGTGCGCTGCATCCCTCTGAGTGCGTCTTTAGAAAGCAAAGGCACCGAGGCAGCAGAGGATGTCACTCTGGCTGCGTCCTCCTGCAGCCACAGAGCGCGTCCGCAGCCAAATCCCCACGGCACAGTTCCACAGGAGGATGTGCCGTTCCATTCAGCAGAAAGTGGGACACGAAACGTCAGGCAGGAGACCGTGTGACCAGTTGACTGAGCCTGGCCTCAGAGTCATTCTCCAGGAAAATGCAGGTAAATCTTGTCCTGAGTGCTCCTGTCTGCGTTCCTCAGAGGTTGGACGCATCAGAACTGTGATCTGTGTTGTTTTCTTATTAGCTGACCCAGTTGGAGAAGTGCAGCTTAATGGAACAAATGCAGGTGTAAAAGAAAGAAAGAAATAAGGACAAGGGTCAAACTTGAAGCATAGAGGTCTCTGGTGCCATCTTGTGGAGGACATGCGCTATTGCAACGCATCAACCCTCATATAACCTTAAATTTATGGGAGACGGGTCTATTCCCAGACTTGTCACGCAGAGAGGCCAGCCTTGGTCATCTGAGGGATAAATCACACTCTTCCTGTAAAAGCATCACCCAGTAAAGCCGTTACCATGAGCTCAGGATGGAGGCCTGCGATGCTCCGTGCAGAAAATGCAGAAAGATGAAGAAGAAAAAAAGTGTGGTGACGTGGCAGCTGTCACCTTGAAGAGATTTAAGCTCTTCTGACAGGAGGAACCAGTGTTTACCCTTTTCTCTCTGCTTACATCCACTCACTTAGATGCTCTGAAGCCAAGTGACTCAGAGTGGGAGAAAACAAATCTTCACACGGTTAATAATCTTTGCTCCAGCTGATGCCGTTATAAAACGACTCTTGACGGTTACAGTGAAGCAGAATGCTTGTGCATCAAAAGGCACTTCCGTTAGTCTTCGGTCTGTCGTGGTTATTTACTCGTCTCCGAGTGCTGTCTGGCTGCAGGGACATGAAGAACAAAGCAGCTGCGTGGGGCAGAGAGGTGAAAGGGCAGAGAGGTGAAGAGCGCCGGTGGCCTATATTTCAGAGCATCCCTGTCTCTCTCCATCCTTCCTCTCTGCTGCTGTTCCTGTGTGTTCAAAGGTGCACCTGCTTCAACTTCTTCGTGCTGCACAGAGACGGTCTGTGTTGCCGTGTTGTCATAAACCTCTGAATCTCTTATCTTTTCAAAAATATCTGATTCATTTTGCTCTGCAACATGACAAAAGTGCTAAGCAGGTAATGCCCTGACAAAACATGTCTTTTCTTTTAGTCTAATGTGGTCCGACAGGTAGCCAGCCACCCAGAAAACACACAAATGCTGTGAGTAAGATGGCTTAAAGCCAAACAGGCTAATTTGCCTCTAAATAAAAAAAATAAAATAAGGCCGACCTCTGCACATCTGTACGTTTTCTTTGGTTGTGAGCGAGTGGACAGCTCTGCACATTAACCAGCTGTGCATGTCAGTGCAGTCTTCATGTGGGAGCATGTGTGTGTGTGTGGGTGTGGGTGTGTGTGTGTAAACACGTCAGCTGCTTCTTCTTAAATAACCAGAATAAAAATGAATGTGCAGATTTTTTTCATCCTTCAAGAATACCAGGCCATTAATTTGTTTGTATTTTCCAAAATTCCTGCAGATTTCATTGGGCTCTACAATATTTATACACAGACAACAAATCAGAACTGGCCATTGGCTGCACTGATATAAAAGCTGGTATTGCTCCATCCTTTAATTATCTTATCTACAGTGGTTCTGGAGGTAAACTCTGACCCCCCCACCCCCACCCCACCCCACCCAGCTCCTAATATCCCAAGACGTTCCCAGACTAAAAATATACAGTTCCTCCAAGGAGTTTTGGGTCAGCTCCTGTGTTGTCTCTTAGTGGGACGTGCTCAGAGAATTTCCAGAGAAAGGTGTCCCAGAGGTGTCCTAATCAGATGCCCGAACCACCTCAAATAAGTTTTTATTATTATTATTATTATTATTCAAAGAAGCAGTGGCTCCACTCTGAGGATTAGGGAGCTCCTCATCTTATCTCTAAAGCTGAGCCCACCACCTTATGGAGGCAGGTAAACTCAGCTGTTTATATCTAGGATCTTGTATTTTCAGTCCTGATCCATGTCTCATGACCGTGGGTGAAGGTTGGAACACAGGTGAACTGGTCTATTGTCACAGCTCCGGCTGTACTTCAACAGACTGGAGATAAACTACTGCAGATGTGTTGTTCCATCTCCTGCTCCTATCATTTGTGAACAAGAGATACTTGGACTCCTCCACTTGAGGTAAAGACTCATCCCTGGCCCGGAGGAGCATTCCAGTTGAGAACCACAGCCTCAGAGAAGCTGATTGTTTTACTTCTATGTCACCCTCAGCTGTGAAAAAAAGTCAAGCTCATGTAGAGGTTGTTGACAAGGACCAGTGGGATCTCCACAACACCAAGACCAAGAGGTTCAAAAAGTTTGTCTTTAAAACTAGCTCTGGTGGAGGTCTGGGTCCTGGGTCGGGTCCAGTTTTTCAAGACAGAAGTGTTGGTGAACTTGGCTTTCACTAACCTTCTGTCTTGGTGTAACAGGCGCTATTGTCACGCTGGAGCCGATGACGTCACCCCCAAGGAGTGACAGCTGCAGTGGAGCAGACTGAAGTCTGTAGATGTCCAGAAGACGGGGGCGATCCAGGTCCGAGATACATGAGTCTTGGCAAGGGTCATACACAGGGTAACAGAGGGCAGAAAACTGAGCCAAATCCGTGATCCAAAGTCGTCGTCGTTGGGGGGGCACAGGGTCTGAAACAGTAGGCAGAGAAGCAGACAAAATCCAAAAAGGGGCAGGTGAAGAGATGAGTCAAAGAACGGGCTGAGGGTCGTGGCAAGGCAGGATACAGAATGCTGGACTTCTGCTGGTTCGAGAATCTGGCGCTGACTGGATGAATGCATGGAGCTTAAGTAGTGAGCGGGACAGGTGGAGCACATGAGCTTAATTGCAGAGTGAGGTGTGGAGCAGGATGAATGACAGGAGCTGAAGGGGCTTGGCAGGGGAAACAAAACAAAAACTAACAGTCAGTGCAGGAGAGGGGGCAAAACCGTGACAGTCGTGGCCTTAAGATGCCAAGAAAAACAACATCATCTTCAAACAGTAAAGACAAAACTCTGAGGTTCCTAAACCAGATACTGTGTCTCCTCTCCACAACCGCATCTTGAGCTCCTGTCCACGAACACAACAAACAGGACTGATCTTTATTTGAAACATTCTTGAGACGTTTCAAAGCAGCAGCATACAAGACTTGAAAAACATTCCCAGCATTTAACAAAGTCCATGCTCAATAATCCAGGTATACAATCCAACATTTTTCAGTCAGGTCATCTGGACAGTTTCTTTATTTTGTGCTGAAACGTTTCGCCTTCGGTCCGGAAGGCTTCATCAGCCTGAAGCCTTCTGAAGCCTTCTGAAGACTTCTGGACCGAAGGCGAAACGTTTCAGCACAAAATAAAGAAACTGTCCAGATGACCTGACTGAAAAATGTTGGATTCCCAGCATTTGCTGTTTCTTTTTGTCTCTTGTGGACATTTTCTGTCTAATCCTTGAGTAAAATATCTTGAAGATCGGAATCAGTCGCAAGATCATCTTATCTAAATGTTTAAATATACAGCATGCGGTGCTGATTGTTGGATAAAAATATCCTCTAATTATCTCACCTACTTAGACACTCGACAACAGCAAAAGATTTCTTAACCGGTTTTACTTGCAAGGTCAGATTTTCACAACAGGTTACACAGACAGTAAGTGCATGGAGCCCGGTCACGAGAATCTACCCCGGGCAGTGTGCGATGCTTGTATTTATCACAGACTCTGAGGTGACCTTGGACCAACAGCAGCTGCACGCCTGCAGCCGCAAATCAGATGAAACAGCAGAAGATCTATCAATCTGAAGTACAAGTTGAAATCACAATTGAGGATAAAACTGATACTAAACTTTTTTGCAAGCTTGTCCTAAGACATGTTTCCATGAGTGAAATCTGCTTTAGTGAGATCCAAATTTTAGCTCTCACCTCTCTCCATGAATGTTTTCTGCATTCATCATGTTTATGCTTGTCTTTAAAATTTAAGATGTCACTTCAAAAATTCGGGAAAATATCTAGCTATAAGGGTAATCATCAAAAGAGCGTGTGGATGCCTGTGACCTCTAAAGAAAAAAAAAATCTTAGGCACTGTACCTTTTAAAATTAGTTTTAAAAAATGTCAATACCTTGGGATCTGGGTAATTCAAGATCATAAGAACCTGTAAAACCAACAATCTACCTCTCATGGTGAACTTTAAACAGGACATTGCTAGATGGCAATCCCTGCCTCACACTCTA